AATTTTATGTCTTATAGGATTTATACTGAGTTCAATATTGTATAACTGTATTAATTCAACTGTGAACCTAAAAATTTACAGCCACTTTTGAAAGAGATGTATCTTTGCTCTGGAAATTGTTATTGAATATGTTAAAGCTGTAATGAAGTGCTTCTTCTAATCATGTGGTTATTAAATAAATAATCAAAAAGAAAAGAAAAAGAATAGTGCCTCTGTCAACTCTCATCAGAGAAGCTTCTTTTTGAAGTAGATGGTGGTTAAGACAGAGTTCCACAATTGGCCTTCATGCAGAGAATAAGAGACTACAGTGTACTCAGCCCTAAAAAGAAAAGAAAAGAAAAAGAATAGTGCCTCTGTCAACTCTCATCAGAGAAGCTTCTTTTTGAAGTAGATGGTGGTTAAGACAGAGTTCCACAATTGGCCTTCATGCAGAGAATAAGAGACTACAGTGTACTCAGCCCTAAATGAGACGCTTGTAACACACTAATTTCTCCAAGGCTCGGGGATTGTTGGGCGAGAGGAAGCATAAAGACTGTAAGAGCCAGAGACAGCGAGTGACTAGTGAAACAGTGTGTTCAAGACACAAGAAGGCAGTAGCACAATTTAACTCACAGTATTTGTGACAGCACACACAAGACCCGTACAAGCTAAAGTCAGACAAAATGCCAGCATGGAGCAGGGATTTGGGCATGAAGGCCCACTCCTAGGTAAGGAGTTATTGGTAACTGATAGTTACTGGGAAAGGGAGACTTGATTTTCTTTAAGGGTGTAATGCTGGTGGATTGATCCTGTTACTCAGGATTGACCCACACCCGAGGGCATTTGAGAAATACAGATTGGATCAATGGGCTTAGTAAAGGAAAAGAGGACGTGAAGTTGGGGGGTGGAGGGAGGTGGAGATGGATCTGAGAGGAGATTGAATGTGATCAAAATGCAAAGTATGAAATTCTCAAATAAATTGATAAAAATATTATTTAAAAAATCTTGGGCTGACAGTTGAGCAGGACCTTTGACTTATCTTCACATAAGTGGAACTGGTAAAAGAAAGGAGCCAGGGGCTCCTCCCAAGCCCATGTGACCCCTGAGGAACAGATCCTCCAACAATCTGAAGAGTGAAAATCAATTGGTTTATTTGGGCCAACTCTATGGTCTTAAACACCCAAAAGGAAAGTATAACCAAAGAATAAAGTGTTCAGTATATTTCCTTAAGAGTTCAAGGGATCACACTGCCCAGACATTAGGCTTAAGTCCATATAAAATGTTATTTAGACAATTATTTCTCATTGATGATTTTGGTGGTGTGGATTTGATCAAAACATCTTATATGCGTGTATGAAATTCTCAATAAAGTTTTTTTTTTTTATAAATCTTGGCTGGAGACATGCTCAGCAGTTAAGAGCAGAGGATCCAGACTCAATTCCCAACACCCACATGGTGGCTAAAAGCCATCCATAATTCTGGTTCAAGGGGATCTGATGCTCTCCTCTGACCTCCTTGGGCATTGCATAACACAGGTGTACTTACATACATGCAAGCAATACACTCATATACAGAAACAAAATCTCACCAGAACAACAAAAACTTACGGCTTTAGAACAGAATTTTACCTGATATTCAAACAACTAACACCAATACCCCTCAAATTATTTTGTAAAACAGAAGATTTACTCAAAATCGTGAAATGTGTATAGGTCTGTGTATGGGCTCATGATGCAGGTGCGTGTGGAAGCCAGAAGGCATTGGATCCCATAGAGTTGGAGTTACATGTGTTTGTGAACTACCCAACTTGGTGCTAGGAATCCAACTCTGGTCTTCTGCAAATGCAGCAAGTGCTCTTAACCACTGAGCCATTTCTCCAGCCTCAAGGCACTTACATGTATGAATTTCCTTCCCAGGGCTGTTTTTTATTGTGTTCCACAGGTTTTGGTGTGATGTACTTTCATTTTCATTCAATTACAGCAAGTTATTAAAATTTCCTTCTCAGTTTCTTCAATAACCTCTTTATTATTCCATAGTGTTAAAGTTTGCTTCTCCGCTGCTGTGAAAAAACACTCTGATCAATACTAACTTGGGGAGAAAAGGGTTTATTTTATCTTACATCTCCCAGGCCACAGTCCATCAGGGAGCCTGAGGTAGACCTCAGGACAAAAATCTGGAGGCAGGAGCTGGAGCACAGGCCATGGAGAAACACTGCTGATTGACTTGCTTCCATGACCCATGCTCCACCTGCTTCCTTATACAATACTGGACCGCCTGCTCAGGAGTGGCACCGACCACAGTAGGCTGGGTTCTCCCACATCACTCAATAATCAAGAACACACTCCACAGACATGGCCACAGGCCAGTTCAATGGTGGCAATTTGCCAGTTGAGGCCCCCTTCTATCCAGATGTATCATGTTGAGAACTAAAGCTATCTGGCACACACAGCGTGTTGTTTAATCTACACAAGTTGGTGTTTTTCCTTATAGTTTTCCTTGCTGTTGATTTATAACTTTATTCAACTGTGGTCAAAGAGAATATAAGACATTATGCCATTTCCCTTTATTTGATGAGACTTACCTTGTGTCCTAGTATGTGATCTAGTTTAGAAAAATTCCATGGGCTGATGAGAAGAACGTATATTCTATAGTGTTTGAATGGAATGTCCTGTAGATATCTATTATGCCCATTTGACTTACGATATCATTTAACTCCAATGCTTCTCTAATTTTCTGTCAGGATGATCTGTCTGTTGGTGAGAGTGAAGTATTGGACTCACTCTTACTGTACTGGGGTTAGTCTGTGACTTCATATCTAGGAGTATTTGTTCTATGAAATTTGGAGTACTTGTTTGGTACATAGATGTCTAGAATTGCAACAACCCTATTAATGGGTTGTTCCTTCAGTCAGGAAGAAGCGACTTTATTTTTTTCTGACTAGTTTTGGTTTAAAGCTGGTTTTATCAGAATAGTGATGTCTTTTCTTTTCCTAGTTCTATTTTCTTGAATAACTCTGATAGTGAGATTTTTTTTTTTTGATGCAGCAAATAGGGATTTTGTTTTTCTTTCTAAAAATTAGTGACTGGGCATGGTAGCACATGCCTTTAATCCCCAGCACTCAGAAGACAGAAATGAGTTCAAGGTCAGCCTGGTCTACGTAGTGAGGTCTATAGGCCAGCCAGGGCTACATTCTGAGACACTGTCTTCAATTGTTTTAGTTGTGTGTGTGTGTGTGTGTGTGTGTGATATTTGTGTGTGTGGACATGTTTTTGTATAGGACTGTCCTCCAACAGACAGACCATGGACAGATGCCATCAACCCAAGATTGGTGGCACCCGCTTGCCTAGGACCATCAAAGCTAAGGGTGTTGACTGTTAAAAAGGAGGGTCAGGGAGGGTCAGCCACACCTCCCAACCAACTGGGCAGTCATAGTTGCATGAGGGTATAAAAACTGAGGAAGTGGAGAGGAGGCTCTCTCACCCTTTTGTGTGGCTGTGGGGAAGTCACCATCCATACCTGGATGAAGACTTTCCAGTGTGGCCTTATGAGGGGAGCACCCACACTCCTGTAAGTAAACCTTTACCCATTGCTCTGTAAGTAAACCCGATAAACTCACTGGTTTCTCAGACTGTAGTTTGGCAAAATTGTACCCTGGTTTGTCATAGGGACCAAGGGAGAATGGGGTGGACATTGTTTATATCTCTCAGAAGGAATTTTAGTGACACATATCCATGCTACAACATGCACGTGGAGGTCAGAAGACAACTTTCGTAAGTTGATTCTTACCTTCCATCTTGTTGAGACAGGGTCTTTGCTGTCATTTTTGCCATACGGAATACCCAAGACTCGTAATCCTATGAGCTTCTGGGTGAGTCTTTCACCTCTACACTTCATTTGACAGTAGGAGTGCTGAGATTATTGCATCTGTCTTTTTAAAATATGGGTTATGGGTTTGATCTCAGCTTCTCAGGCTTGTTGGTAAGTGCTTTTACCTGCTGAGCCAGCTTGCCAGCACATATGTGGAGGTCAGAGAACAGTTTGTGGGAATGAATTTCCTCCTTCCATCATATGGGCCTTTGGAATCCATTTCAGGTTGTCAGGCTTGGTACTTGGTGAACATTTTGCTAGCCCTAAGTTGGTAGTTTTAACTAAAGAATTCTCTACAGATCCATGTGTCTGGTACTGGAGAACTAACCTGAGGGAGGGCAGTGAACCAAGGAGTTGGGGGAGAGATGTTCCTTGCTCTGCCTTGCTGAAAGGGGGTACACTTCATGCTATACAGTTTAAGGATCAGGCCAGTTGGGCTGTATAACTCACACTGGACCTTTTCTGGGGACACTCAATTGTTGGTACGCTACAAGAGTCCCGTCCCTCTGTTCTTTGGAAGTCCACCTCTCAAATCCACCTTTAAGGACCAGGTGAACTTTCATGATCATCTTTTGTTCCTTGGGAGCTGGTTTCTCTGGTTCTGATCAACTGGCTCAACAAGGTGAGTATCTAAGAGGAAAGGTCAGGACCGGAGGGTGTGTCAAGTCACTTTAACAGGAACAGTCTAGAAGAAGGGTGGAGGCAGCAGCCCATAGAACTAGGAGAGCTGCTTCTCATATGAGTTCCTCAGCATAGCAGCTCTGAAGGCCCTTGGCATCATGGCTGTCCTGTGGCTGGTGCTACTAGTGGGGCTGCCCACTGTCTTCCTGGGACTCTTTGTGTGGGCTGTCATCCAGCACTTTCTCACTGCAGAAGTCCCCTCCGCCTTTGAACATCCAGCCAAGTTCAGGTTTATGCACTGCGTGGTGCTATATGGCATGACTTTGGTGAGTCTGCTCTTGAGCCTCTCCATGGGTTGAGGGCTCTTTGTCCCTTTGTCCTCCTCTTCCATTTTCCTCTCGTTCTCTAGATTCCCACAAAACTGGGCTTGGAGACTTTTCTGTGTCCTACATCCATTCTTCCGTCGCTCTAGCTTTCCTTTGCTCCTTCCATTTCTCCCTGTCTCCTTTGCTTCTCCCTTTCGTCTTTCCTTCCTGCATCCACATTCTTTTTCCTTTCCTGTTAATTTTATTTTTTGAGCGTTTCATACACGAATACCATATTTACCTTATCCCTAGCACTCCCTATCCCCCTTCCGACTCCTTCCACATCCTCCCCACTCCCTCTCAATTTCTTGGTTTCTTCTGTAGTAATTATTTAAAAAATTATATATATATATATATAATCTACTTAGTCCAATTAGTGATGGTAGTATGTACATGTGTTTAGGGCTTACCACTTGGAATTAGATAACCTATCAGGGAGCTCATCCCTGGAGAACACTGATTCTCTTTTTCTCAGTAAACATTGGTTGACTCTAGCTGTCTAGCGATGCAGCCTTGTGAAAATGTTTTTGAGAGAGGATTTCACAGGGTAGTCAAGCCTGACTTTGGCTTTGGACTGGGAACTCACCACTTCTGTCCCCCAAGGGCTGCCATTACAGGATGTATCACGGTCTACTAGGCTCTTTTCTGAGGACTGAGATAATTTCAGACCCAGTTGCTGCTCTCACTCAAGACCCACACATGGCCTGAGAGATCTAATTCCACCTTTACCCACAGCCTCTTACTTCCTTTTCTCCAGGTAATTTCTTGGATTGATGTGAGATACTGACACCTGATAGGAACTTTCTTAGCTTTGTCCTGAACACAGATCATGTACTGTTTGCTAATCAAATCGTCCATGTGATGAATGTAACTCAGTCTTTCAGCATGGTTGCACTGGTTTCTGGGCTCTGAGCCAGCCTTTGGGGCTGGAGAATGGGGACAGACTGATCGCAGGTGGATGTAACAGATCTAAGAGAATATGGGAGGCACAAAATTTGAATTTGACCTGGTGTCCCAACTCTGGTGGCTAGATAATTCCTAGTGAGTATCTCAAAGGACAATTGAGGAGGAGGAGGTCAGGAGGGACGGGTGAGAAGCACTGTAGCCAGCCTCTCTGGTGAGCATTTCTTTTCTGCTCTCACTGGCTATGCAAGCCCCTCGATTAACCTCTCTGTGTCTCAGTTGTCCCATCTGAAATGGGGGCAGTGGTTTGTACCTCATTTGGGTTGATAAAAGCCTTAGATGGCATGTGATAAGGGTGTTTTTTTTTACTGACCATATTTAAAAAAATTATTTATTTAAAAACCACATAATTAGAAGAAGCATTTCATATAACAGCACTGACATATTCAATAACAATTTCCAGAGCTAAGATGCATCTTTTCAAAATTGGCTGTACATTTCTAGGTTTACAGATGAATTATTACAGTTATACCGTATTGTACTCAGTATAAGCCCTATAAGACATAAAATTGAATGTTTTAACCTTTAAAAAAGATCTCCATTTCATTTTAAAATATACTGTTTCTTATAGAAAGACTCATTGTTTTTGCTACTAACACTGAGATGTTGGCACATGCGTCTCTGATCTGTATGTATCTGATTATTACTAATCATAATCGGTTGCACTAGGATCCATGGTGCCTGTGTATGTCTATAAGGTCATTGGGTAGATTTCAATGGTAATGTTTATCACCTCTACTAATTAACATGATGTAATTTTTTTATGCTTCCTCCTCAAATATAATACATATAAAAATTTGTGTTTTTGTGTGTATATTACACAGAACATCCAAAACCATCTTATTCAACTATATACCCACCTTCCAGATGGCACCCTCCCATAGCCCCCCCCCCACTAGAGCCCTTATACTCGGTTATCCCTGCTACTGTTCACTGTGTGGTCAGCACCCCCAGCCGTTCCCCACTACTTGCCCTTCTGGTGAATCTAGTCAGCCTATCTAGAGGTCTTTGTTTTAGGAATGTCAGCTGTTCCTCACCTAGCAGCAATCAGTTGTCAATATTCC